TGGCAGCTGCTGGGAAGGCAGCATGAGGGACTCACGCTGCCAGAGAGATGTGTCCTCCTGGGCTGGGCTGGGCTGGGCTGGCATTCCCCGAGCACCTCTTGGACTCTGCTCAGGGCTGTCACGTTTCCCCGGTGCCAGGGAGCGCTGACACAGCGTGCCCAACCTGGCCAAGAGAGACAGGGCCTCCTGCCCAACTGGGAATGGTGGAAGTGATTGCCTGCAGATGCTGTCATGTGCAGATTTAGCACCAATGAGAAATCCGAGCACATTCTCCAGGCACAGCGAGGCTGGGCAGTGTGTGTGACCGGTCCTCGGTGAAAGGGCTGGGAACTCTCTCCTGGGGGTGCTTCAGACCAACACAGAGACCCACAAGGTAGCAGGGGGATCTTTTGTGCCTGTGAAAAGCCAGAAAAGCCCCGGTACAATGGCCATGGGGAAATGGGACCTCCCAGCATTCTGCACAGGACCCAAGGTTTGGATGATAGGACACCTAACCCTGTTATCACCTTTCCCTCTGTCAGACATTGGCGTTCATGCTTCATGTATAAAAGTGAACCACATGCATATGATGAACCATTTGTTTCTTTGCAACACCACTTAGAGCAAACCTATTCTAAGGGACTAAATGTATATTTACACGTGGCATAGATTTCAGCACAGTACCACCCTGTTTGATCTTTCCATCTGCCCGTTCAGCCCCTCTAAATGTTATCTAGGTTATAGCTGGGTCTCAGTTACCATATATAGGGAAGACAGTGATTCTGCTTTCTCTGAAAAACACCATTTCAGCCTTAGCTATAGGCCTAAATGGAGCAGGCAGTGACTCTGGTGTTGTGCAAATGGAAAAGTGCGTTTTGTGCTCCTTGTCTTCCCTGGAGAATTTTAATTTCATGTGACATTTTCTGTGCTGCCCTGTCACATGCCAAATGCTCTATCAGAACTGACCCACCCAGGGATCAATCCCATTACTCACCTTTCCCTGCATCCACATCAACCCCCTTCCCCAGGCATCCGGGAGGGATGCTCAGGTTGACCCCACGTGGCTGGGTAACCAGAGGAGGCCTGCAGGGACGGGGTGGCAGGTGGAGGGAATGTGCTAATCCTGGTCATGCCCTTCCATCACCTTCACGTGCTCCGTCAGCTGCGCGGAGCCGCCCAGCCCCGCACGCCCTGCGCCCCGGTGGCATGTCCCCATGGAGCCGTGCCACGGGCCCCGTGCTCCTCGGGCAAGGCAGCGCTGCCAGCCCGGCTCGCTTGGAGCACTGCGTGTCACGGGGAATCCGGCTGCGTGGCTGCCACCTGCAGCTGGGAAAACAAACAAACAAAAAAAGAATCACTGGAACAGGTTAGGAATTACAGTCTGAAGGTGTCCCAGGTCACCTGCAGGGGAAAAGAAAAGGATGAACTGTCAAGTTGGAAGGGAGAAAATGCGGGGAAGTGGAGTTCTGTGATAGCGGAGGTGAGTGGCTCCTGTGAGAAAAGAGGTAGAAAAGCTGGGAAAAATCCAGTTTGTGGTTTTGGAGACATAAGGAAAGTCACTCTGGGGATGGATGTTCAGCAGACCATCACAGCCATGCAAAATTTGAAAAGCCATGGTCTGGAAACAGGGCTTTGGGGACAACTGGGATACAAATGGACTGTTAGGCTGCTTCTCAGGCCATGTGGAGACACGTATTTCGTTGCTTAGCATTCATTTTTGTTTGTCAGCTCCAGAAAGCTGTTTTCCCACAGCCTTGTCTCAGGACCGTGGGGTGCAGGAGCAAACTGGGGCTGTTGACTTTCAGACTACTCAATCATCCTGCAAATTACAGCCAGCCCAGAAGAAAAACACAGCTCTGCATGTTTCCTTTTTTAGGTAGAAGTGTTGAGAAAACAACATGAGATTTTGTTTCTGATAAACTAGGAACTGTTTCAGGAATATTAATTATTTTTCTTGTATCAATATTTTACATTTATTCCTCTGCTATGGTATTGGGATTGAGATGGATGAAGCCTACAGCACGGATTTCAGACTTTCTTTCAGGCCCCTGAAAAAAAAATTTAAAATAGTGATGAATAGAAAGGTTTATTTTCTGGTTATTTTAGCCTGGGGTATGGAAGCTGTGGGCGCTATACCCTGCCCCATGTAAGCCCTTTGCAACATCATTTGGAATCATATTCTTAAAAAGCTTAAAAAGCTTTATAAGGAAAGGGCTTAAAGGGCATCAGAAGGTGTTGAGGCACCTGAATAATTTTTAACTTCTTGTGTGCCACCTCTGTAATTCTTCATCTCCCAGAACTTCACACTGGTGGAAGGCTGCAGGAGACATTTTGCTGCTTTACAGTTGTACTGTGCAGAGAAATTCTCAGTCTGGGAGATGTTGGAGTCTCCAAAGGCACACATGTGATTTTCAATACGGAAGTGAGGATGGAATGAGTGGATCCATTCGGGGATTTTTATCCTCTGTGCTGGGCTTAGGCACAGCCTGGGTTGGAAGAAGATCTTTTCTTTCTGAGCTGACTGAGGCCCAGAGAAAGCTAACCCAAGTCTAGACAGTCTGAGACAAGACAGTCATGGTGTATCTGGGATTTAAGCCTCTGTGCATGACTAGAAAAACAAGGTGTGTCAGCCAGGTTCCTCTAACCTGGTGGGAAACCTGCCCATGAACCAATGTCCCACATCTGCACCAGAACTGAGGCTGCTTTGGGCTTCAGTCTGCACGGAAACAGAGGTTATGTACATAGGTTTAGGGCTGGATCACCTGTGTGGTGATGTCCTTGGGACAAAGACCTTGACTCCTGTGGGGTGAAATGGCTGTAAAATGTTACAAAGAGGTGTTTTACACATCATCCCAAGATGCAGCATGAAGCTGAGCTCTCATTCTGCTGCAAGTTAGAGTGATTTTATCAGAAGGCATGGCATGAACATGACCATGTAGGTTAAGTCCTGAAGGTTTCCCTCAATCAACACTGTCTTTGAAATCAATGAGGCTGAAGTTATTGCCTGATAGGAGGAGGAGTCCATCTGGGATTTCTCAGCTGAATTAACTTTAATGATAAAAATGATGATATAAATATGTAAAATACAAAAACAGTGTTGTCAGCCACTTTGTTTCTGGCTCAAGGGGTTTATATGTTTAGTCTTACATGCTTTTCACATTGATTTTGTGTATCAAGATTTAATGTTGTCAGGAACCACTAAGTAAAAATATTTAGTAATAACAATAAAAATAGAGGGTGTGATTTCATAATCCTAACAAAACAGATAAGACAGATGTTCAAACTAATTCTTGGCTTGGGTTTAGGCGTTCTTCTGGTGCCTATCACATTGAACTAGTACTGGGACAACTTTGTTTTCAAGGAGGTCTTCATGCTGGAGCATATCAAGTAAGAGATCTAAGAAACTATAACATCAACAGTAATGATATTTCTTTTGAGATACAAAAAGTTTAGCCATTGGGGCAATATTTTTTCTTGTCGTTTGTTTAGTCTGTTTGGTGAATTCTGCCAGGTTGGTTTTGATCCTGTATGAAGAGTGATTTGCTGTAAGAGCGGATGCATCAGCCGAGTCGTGTTTGAAAGTAAATAATAAATAATTGTAACAGTTAATATAAGGAACTGACATCTCCACAGTTTATTTTCCACTTGGTTAAGTTTAGCTCAGGCCAGCTTCTTTCTGGCATCATTTGCATCTAAGCCGAGAGATCAAAACGGAGCAGCCGCCCCCGTCCCTCCCCGGCTGCGTGCGCGGTGGGTTCCCACGGCCGGGGCTCTCTCCTGGCCCGGGCACAGGGCTGCTTTGGCCGGGACGGGTCCTGGGGTGCGGGGAGGCTGCGGGGTCGCCGCTGGGCTTACGGGGGTGCGGGGAAGGGGATGCTCTGGGGCACGGCGAGGTCGGCACCGCGGCACCGGGGGTGCGGGCTCGGCAGCGGCGGCTGCAGCGGGGGCTGCGGGACGCGCTGCCGGCGCACCGAGCGCTCCGCAGCCGCCGCTGCCGCCCGCAAAGGGTTAAGGGGAGCGGGGCTGGCGGAGGGCGGGCGCTGCCGGGGGCTCCCGGGGATTGGTGCGAAGTTTGGAGCGGGGCGGCCCCGCACCGCCCTCCGCGGCGGCTCGGCCCCCACCGCCACAAAGCCCTGCAGGGAAAGTTGCTTTATCGCCGGTTTCTCGCTCCCCGGCTCTCCCCCCCCCTCCCCTCCCCTTCCCCAGCCCCTTTCCCCTCCTCCCCTCGCTCCTTAAACGGGATTCCGGCTGGGCGAGCCGCCGGACGGCATCACCGGGCATCCCGCGGCGCGGAGCCCCGGAGGCTCTGGCAGGTCCCCGCTGTCCCTCCCCGCACACACACGCTCAGCCCGGCCCGGAAAGCAGGAAAAAAAATAATTTACAAGGTTTCCCCCTTTCCCTGACCTCCTCGCCCGTGACTCTCGAGTGGAAAAAAATCGCCCGCGGGGGCGAAGGGGGGAGGTTGTTCAAAAGCCGGTGAAGGGGCAGAGCCGCTCCGTGGGGAGGGCACCCCCAGGCAGCCCCCGGCACCCCGGGGAGGGGGGGATGAGGTAGAAGCCGGCGGCGGAGCGCCCGCCGGGCGCCGTGGCCGCGGAGGGCATGAGGCGGCGAGCGGCGGGGATGGGCTCCAGAGCGCAGTGTTAGAGCCCGGCAGCAGCCAAGGTAAGTGTTCCCCGCACCGCCACCCGGGCCGGGACACCGCTCCGGGACACCGCGCCGGGGCCGCGTAGCGCACAGCTGGGAGCCGCCAGCGCAGCCCCGAGGCGCGGGGCAGCACCAGGTGGCATCGCGCCGGGTGTCCCCCCGCTCGTCCCTCCCTTCCGCGACCCCGGCTCCCGGCGGCGAATATCCCGTTACCGCCGAGCCGCGCTGCGCCCCGGGCGAGCCCCGCCGCCCCCCGCTCCCGCTGCCCGCCGCGAACGGGAGCGAACGGCGGAGCGGCCGCGTTTGCTGTGCTGGATGCTGTACGCGGGTTGTTGTGTGTCCTGGGGGCACGGGGTGTTTAAAGCGGGGAGTTTACAAGGGTGAGGAATCCAGACAGTGTTTAGAGAGTGAGAGTTTTAGGAGGAGAATGGGGTGTAATTAATGTAAACCTGATCTTCCCCGGGCGTGCGTATCGCAGCGAAGGCATCTTCAAGAATCTGGGTAATTAAGTGCGGTTGCGCTTTGGGACGCACCTCTGGAGCCCACGGAAACAAGTGGGGCTGTTGGTGGAGAAAGCGTGGCGGGGGTGGCGGGGGGAAGAAGAGGAAAGGAGGAATCAGCGCTGTACGGAGAAGTCTCGGAGTGGAGGAAGGCGCGTACCCAGAGCGGAGACTGGCTGAGGGGCACTGGAGCAGCAACACAAAGTTTTCTGGGCTGCTGATGGGAGAGGTAGCATTCCTCCTCCCCCTTCCACCAAGTTCCTCCGCAAATTGTTAACCTGAAATCTTGTTTTATGGCCACTTGCTAGCGTTTTGTTTGCCTTCCAGACTGGTTCTGTACAGGATACTAAAGAATTATGCATTAACTGTAAACTTAGAGGAGCTTACTGGCCTCAGTGGGTTCTTGATTTATATCAGGCTAAAGCAGAGAGGAGGGCAAAGTTTTACTCACTGAGCACCAAGGAATGAATTACAAGTACGTTGCTCTTTCATTTGCTCTTTCTTCTTCTCAGTCTTCTGAATGGGATTTAAAACTCTGCAAAGTTGAGGGTTGTTCAGTTTTTCCCCCCAGTAACTATTTTGCTCTCTTTTTTCCTGCCCAGGTCTGAGAGGACAGTAGCCTGTGCGATACGGCGGGATCTGGTTTTCAAAATGGAATTGCAGCTGGCGCTCCTTTTGGCAGGGATAATTGCATTTTCGGACTCAGCGAGAGGTAAGGGGACCACGCTTGCTGCGATCACCCGGTGACTCTGTCCCTCCCCTCTGCCCCGTGGGCTCTGCTAACACCCGTGGTGCCCCCGGAGGGATCCCCCAGGGGAGTTGCTGTCAGCAGGGACTCGTCCCCTGCACATTTTTTATCTGCACAGGGGTGCAGGCTCGTGCCCACGTGTGGTGCCTCCTTACCTGCGTTGTTTGGGATGGAGCGCGGTCACTGCGGCTTTGCTGAGGTCTGTTAGGCACAGGTGAACTTCCAGGGGCTTTTCTTGTGCCTGTGTAAAAATACACAGACAATTTTAAAGAAAAGCAGCTGCATTCCTCTGTGGATCAGAAATACCTCTCCCCTCCTGTAATCCCTCCAGCCTCTGCCCTGTGTATTCCCACTTACAAACTAAACAAACACATCCATTAACTTCCCCGGTGACAGACAAATGACAGTTCCCAACAGCGAGAGAGTATTTGAGCGTTGAGGCTCCAGCAGTTGATCAGATTTCAATAAACAGGTTACCCTTCCAGAGGCAAATTGAAATACGTTGACTTGGGAATGATGGGGGTAGGAAAAAAAGAAGTTTCTTTATGGCAAGGTGCTTTTAGCAAAGCTCTGGGATCAGAGTGCAAGGAGCGGTGGCGCTTCCTGCGCTTTGCCTGTGTTGTACCTTGGTGGGTGCTGTCCTTAGCCTGAATGGGAATCCAGGATTTCAGCTCCCCCACCCCTGGTCACAAAGTAGGGACTGCATTGTTCCAGGAGAATAGGGGTACAACTTTTGGATGCAGATTGCTCCAGCTGCAATTCCCAACAGTCTCGGAGTTTTGTGAATTGTTATAAGACCTTGAAGTCGTCCAATGTGAAGGACTTGCGAGTTAAAAGGTTTAATCTTGCCCTTCACTTGGGCTGTAACTTGCCAAAAATAAATCTTGGGGGTGAGGGTGGGAAAGGAGAGGGGGAGCATTACTCTGAAAACTCAAGTTTGGTTTAGTGCACTGCTTTTTTTTTTTTTTTTTTTTTTGGCATTGGCTCTCAAGCAAATATTTTATGGAGGCAAAAGCACTATAAAATGATTTGGCTGGAAGCTGAATGAAAAAGAAAACAGTATATAGGCTGTAATTCCTTCAAGTCTGAATTCCAGGCAAGGCTTACAATGGAGACTCAGTTTAAGTTGTGGGCGATGGGCAGCAGTGTGTGAATTAAGATGACTTCATGGATGTATATTATTGCAATGGACCTGAGAAGTTGGTGGAGTTCCGGAAAAGATCTGAAGTGGGCAGGAGAAGACAAAAAGATTCTTGTCTCTGATGTGAGCTGAGTATCGGCTCCTTTACTGGCTGACCCTGTTTAAATTTGGTTTGCAATTGTCTTGCTCTTACACTTACTGCCCCTGGAAAGTGAAGCGCTGTGGGCTCTTGCCATGTGAAGAAGTGACAGAAAATTAACAGCAGTAATTTCAGGACATCATTATTTTTCTTGTGGAAAGGTCTTTTAAATATAACTTTGATAGGATCATATTGGTAATTGGATTATTTGAACACTTTTCAGAACTAGAAAAACCCATTCTGTAAGTGTATGGAGAGATGGTGCTGGTTATTTAAAATTATCAAGAGATAGAGGTTAAAAGCCAGGGCCAAACCCATGAAAAATGTCATTCATTTGTGTGCTGAAGAGAGGGGAATTATAGAAGAAAAAGGAGTCATTGCTGTGAAAACAGAAACAAAATTCTGACATTTAATTCCTGCTTTAGACCTCCTTGAGAAGGAGAACATTTCTGATTGTGAAGGAGGTAGATGGAAGATCGAACTTGTGAACAGAGATGAGACACTTCCCAGAACTTTGAAACTTTGTGCTGACAGTTATCTCCAATTGTTAGGTGTTTACATTGGGATAATTTCAGGTTCTTGGAAAAATGTGCCAGGCTTTTCATGTGCCTGCAGAGTTTTTCTGAACGCCTCCTACAAGGGCTTTGGCCGCTGGAGATTTGTAAACGTTACCTGCCACGGTCGCTCGGGTTTTATAGGCAGTCCTTCAGCCAAATCTCAGCCTGAGGTCGTGAAGCTCTTCTCTGGAGGAAGAAGGGCGCTTTGTTTTGGTCAAACAGCATTTCATGTCTTTGTCCTGATTGCAGGTTAGACATGTGTGGCCTGAAGTGTGCCAGCACCTCCTGATCTGAGGCATCAGAAGTTAAATAGGTGCTTGCTGGCTGGCGATCAAGTGAGGAAGGTGGCTGAGGAGGTTCTCTGGGAAAGTGATGGTCCTTCTTTTCTACTCATTTTAGGCAAAAGTAGGTTATGCTGTAATTAGGGTGTTCATTTGAAGCTGACTGAATGCTGTGCCCATGCTTGGGGAAGGGCTGTGCCATGGTGCATCTGCACAAGGGGGCAGAGTTAAGTTGCCCACGCGCTCCAGCTTTGATATTTCCTGACAGTTGAATGCTCAGCTGCAATCTTGCATTAAATGTTACGTTGTATTATTTTTACATCTTTATTTAGGTGACACCTTTTAAGGCAAAGGGCTCTACAGGAATGACTGATTGGGTTTGGCTGGCAGGTTTTTTTTTTCCACCTCCCAGCAAAAAGGGGCGTTTTTCCAGGGTCGGATCTGTGCCTGCTGGCTCTGTCCCACCAATGTATCTCATCACTGATGTAGAAGTCACTAAAAAATGGAATATCTTAGCAAACTAAGATAAACTCTTAAGAAAGAGGCAATACCTCTGAAGTATCCCGGAAAAATAGAGAGCAGGTCTGATTTTAGAGGTACAGGTGGTAGAACTGTCTGTGTTTGAAGGGATTAAGGGTGAGGTAGCTCTGCCTGTGTTTGAACCAATGCTTTTGGGGTTGAAAGACTTTGACTAAGGGCTTTTGTACACCTTCCAAAAAACTTGGTCTGGAATACTTCTCAGTGGCCAATCTTATTCCAGGCTAAGGATCTCCTGAAGGGAGCCTGTACCAAAAAGTCTTCCCCGGGAGCTATTTTGGTAGATATCCAAGCCCCTTCTTTCCCTTGTGGCTGAAAACTAGAATGCCTGTGTGCTCAAAGCCCACTCTTGGAGAGCAAAACCTGCGTGCTGTGGTTTTCTAAGAGGGACTGTGCCTTCCAGCTGACAGCCAAGGCGTGTGGCTTCAGCCTGGCAGCTTCAGCCTGGTTGCCAGCCTCGACAGATAATATCTGCTCTGAACCTGGGATAACAGCACAGGTCCAGCAGCTCATCCCTCATGTTATTCCATTCCTGCTCTCTCCAAGCAGCCCCATACTGGGCATAAAGTCTTCAGTGTCCTCTGCAGGGATTAATGCCGTGCTGGGTCACTAACCTTTAGCGACTATGTCCTGTAGCAATGTAGCTCCTGCCATGCCACACCTCCGGCTGGACACAGGTAATACAATCTGATATTTTCCTGCCTGTGTTATCTCAGTGACCAACAACGCAATATTTGTTCCAAATCTGTCAAGTTGCCATCATATTCGCGTTGGTGACCGTATATGGTAACGTTGGGATGTGCCTGGCTTGGTCCCATGGCTTAAGCAAGATTTTGTATGGTATGTTTAGAAGTTTTTGGTAAGAGCAGTAACCACCCTCCTGTTAGCGAGTAAACTGATATTCTGCTGGAAACTAATTAGTTTGGATGTTGATTTCATTTTCGGTGCATTGCGTAGGGAAGGGAAGAACGGGACCTTAATTGCTTTCTGTTCTGGCACTTCTCCGTGCGACCTTGGCTTGCAAACCTGCTTGGTGTCTGCTTTACAGGGAATTTGCTGATTGGGCCACACCAAAATTCAACAGTTTCATGCAGAAATAATGTTATGTGCCATTTTGGTTTCTCTTAATGTTGAAGAAAAGGGAATAGATTGCTAGAGGTGTTTTTTTTTTAATGTCTTGGAAGTTGAGTTCTTCGTTCTGATGAATAGAATTCCCATTCTGTAACTTTGGGGTTTATAAGAGTAAACTTTAGGGTTTATAAGGGTCCTTCAGTAAACACAGAAAACATAAAAAATGGTAATGGGACAGAGATGGTTATTGCCTTTTGTATTACGCCTTTATTCTTGTTGAGTGGTTGTTACCAGATAGAATGATTAGGTAATTTCTCGCTTGTGAAAGAGAAGCATGTTCAGATCTAACAGCCTGATTCAGATTTTATGGAAGTCACAGCACATCTTCTGGAGAAGTTTGGGGCATTTTTTGGATCTTGCTCTTGGGGAACTTGCTCATGAATAATCTGTCAGCATGACTTGTACCTAGAGTCAACATGACGTGCTAAGAAAATCCTGGTTATTTTTTAAACGCTGGTTCCTCCCTTCTTCTGAGGCTGTCGGCCGCTTTAAATTGAGGCCGAGTTTAAACATAAAATTCAGTGTGCGTCATACTGGAAAATTAGGGTTGATTTTATTTGTTTTTAATTAGGAATATTACAAAACTCAGCAAATTGCTCAAATACATCTACATTTTCCCTAAAGTTTTTATAACTCTGTTTTTCAAGTCCATATGTTTCTTTGACCTTCATTAAAAAACGCAAGCAGCGCATCCAAATGTCTCTTTTCTGGGATGAACTTGCAGACAGCAAAGGCTGGGCTCCAAAGCCTCACTCTTAGCCACAGAAGCTGCTTTCATATGCCATGGTGGTGCTTGAGATATTACAGGAAAGTGTTTATTCCAGGAAAAAAAAAAATTCAAAATTGAAAAAGAAGTGACACTTGCTAGCAAGTAGGAACTCTTTTTTCAAGATTTGGGGCTATTAGTGCCAATTTATTAACTAAAGCTGAAGTTTTTCATTTGACATGAGTTGGCTGATAGAGCTGATATTTTCCAATATCCTCTCTGATAATTCCTTTTTGAGTTTCTGTCTCACCATAAGTGACACTGATACATCTGGGTGCAGAATACTCGTCATGGAATAGTGTGAATGCAGTAGAGTCTGCCTGTGCATTTTTGGATTAATTACTGAAAGAGATAAAAATTTCCACTGAAAGAGGAAAATAATAATAATGCAGAGATCCTCTTGTGCCTAGGTTGAATTAAAAAAAAAAACAAAACCTCAACAACCTTTAGTCATAGCTTTATTTATTCAGTGAGATTTGAACTGGTGCAGCTGATTTTCCTAAGACGTGAAGCTCCTACTTGTGTCTGCAGTGACTTGTAAAACCAAGCTGCCAAAAGGATCTGTGCAAATGTATCCCAGCATTACAGGAGTTGGTGGAAGTGCTTTTTTCTCACATTTCTTTCATTACCCTCCTCATTTTGTCTTGTTTCAAGTAATTTGTCTTTCATCTGACCTCTTCCTGTATTTTCTGATGGGCTGCTCAAGCTAAAATGCATTTGATATTGTTTGGAACATTTAATTTGGATTTCTATTCCTTATCTTTTTCTCTGTAATCAGCCTTTACTTTGGGCTTTCTCTGGTAATAACACCCCTGTACCTATTTAGCTGTGTTTACCTGCTCTAATCTTTTGCAGCAAGGTG